ATTGTCATGAAAAAGACTTCATTGCTGAAAGGAGAGGAATTAGGATTGTGGAGAATTATCAAGGAACAGAAGCCCCTAAGAAGGAAGAAAAACAAACAAACAAATGCTCTGTAGTGGAAACTGAACAACATGAATCCAGGCTGAGAATTTAGCTTTTGAACAAAGAGACCCAGCTGGAGGAATTTATTCTTGTCTAAGGTGTACTGAAGCCATAACAAGAAATCATTTAAGTATGACTAACATAGGCCACAGTAGGGTTTATGTTTATGTTGTAAATTGTGTACTGTATCCTATTATGAGATCAGTGTTTTTTTGGGGGGCTTCCTATTAAAAAGGTTTCATGGGGCAAGAGTAAGATAACCAAGTTTATGAAGGATTATTAGTAGATTGCATGGTCAGTGGTTGGAATATAAAATGTCTGTCCTCTGTTTCTTATTGCAGTGATTTTCCACACCATTTGAGATAGAAAGGTGTACCTTTTGATAATAAACATAACGCCTCTGTAGGCTATGGGAATATTTCAGCATCTCTTTTTTGCATGTTATATAAATAAGGTAAGAAGCAAAGGACTTGTTTATTTAGACTGAGCAGAAAAGAGTAAAATCTGTCGTCTTGAGTTGTATTGTGTTAAATTGTTTTGGATTCTTTAAACAAATATGCCTCAGCTTGTACCTACAAGGCACCCTGGCAACAATTAGAATACCTATGCGAATGCTACCCCAAGTCTATGGAATGATATTAATGTACTTACAGCACACACCATCTTGGTGAGACGATTATAATAGCAACTTGTGCTTCGGGTGAAATAGTAAGCCAATGATGTAGCCATTAATTTGAATTTAGCAGACATTTTAAATATAGGTTTCTTTTACAGAGACAAAAGTTGCAATTTAAAGCTCTTTGGTGGTCTAAAAACAGCTTAATTCTGTAGTAGCATGGTAATAAGTACTAATCCAGCTTATACAGTGATTGTAGTATGTCATGTTTGTGAAAGATTGTCCAACTGCTTTCTGTGAGTTTTATGTTAATTTTAAAATATTAAACATAAAACCTTATAACATCTTCATGCTGAGATAAACTGTTCAGTTTAAATTGTGCTCAAGCAGCAGCTGTCAGGAATTATCTTGTTACTAGTGGTTTTTGCTATCACCTTGTGCCCTTCCTGCCACAGTCACATTCACACTACAGGATGATAAAGTGTACCTTGTTAGAATTTATTGCTTAAATAATACCTGAAGCAAGATGAACGTTGGTGGCCTAGGGATTAACCGCTGACTGAGTGCTGCTACTCATTGTGTAATTATCAACTTTAAATAGTTAATGGTAGGGAACAAAGTAATACTTGCCTGTGGCTTATACCTGCTTTTGTATGTGTGTCTGTGTGCATGTGAGTGTGTGTTTGTGTGCACAAGCGCATGCACACATCAGTTCTTTTGGGTATTTAGTTAAAAATATGAGGAATTGTGAATTACCCATTTTAACTGCCATTTCATAAATGACAAAACAAAGAAATATACTTTACCAATGATGGAGACAAATGAGGAATGTTTTGAGATGTGTAATGAAAGTACAATTTGACAATTAAACTGAAGGAACTCTTGTGTGGGCAGGTTCAGATAGGTATTATTATGGTAATTAGTCAATTTTTCTTCTGATGGTGTTGGACTCTTTTGTTTGCGAGGTTTTCTTTGAAAGGCTTGACTTTCAGGTAGGTTCTTGATTATGGTCAGTTGGTAGGTAGGGTCATGTAGTAAAAATGGTGGGAAGGGCTTGCCTTGGTTAAGCATTTGCTACAGAAGGTTCAACTTTAGGAAATTCTTTAGGCAGGAAATTAATAGTTGGATTAGCATTAGAAATACATATTTGATGGGGTTATTGTTTAGAGAATTTTTTCTTTCACTTACTATCATTTAATTCATAGTCCCCCAAATCTAAACACTCAACTTACCAAACATTTGCAATAGGACAATGAACTACATCTAATTTACACAGATTAATCAATTGCTAATGTTTTGTACACTTTTAAATTTCTATCTATGTAAATATGTACATATGAATATTTATTATTAGTAGTAGCATTTTTAGTAAACCATTTCAGAATTAGTTGCAGACATTTTGACACTTCACATGTAAATAATTTGACATGAATCTTCTAAGAATAAGGATATTTTCTTCTAAGTAACTGGAATAAAAGTGTTATACAGGCAAAATTCAAGATCAGTAAAAATGTAGAATTTTGCATTTAGGCCATATTCACATTGCTGTTGTCCTAATGTCTTTTGTAGCCCTTTTTTCCCATTGCAGTCAGTTGTATCAGTCAGTGCTTGCTAGAAAAACAGATTTAATTCAAGGTGTACAAATATAAAAGAATTTACAAGATTAACTTACAGTGACCATCAGGGTCAGGTGTGGAAATGTGCAAACAGGCTATGTGTGTGCTGGAGATTAGGAGGTTCCAGTTGAAGGCCTGGAGCTCACTGCAGTGCCCCATATGTGTCTGTGACGGAGGTTGAAGAGTATGCTGGAAGCCAGGAGATGATATCCAGGGTGAAGGTGAAGACTAGAACTCCTCTGAAGAAACAAAAATGAGGCTTCCTTCTTAATTTCCTTTTTATTCTGTTCAAGCAGAAGTCCTTTTGGTTGGTGTCACTCAAACCCAGTGAAGATCCTTTTCCTTCAGCAACTTTCAGAAGTATGCTGATCCAGTTTAGTTTGGTGTTTCTTACTTAAGATGACACAGTCAAGTCACAAAAATCAAGAATGATATATTAAATTTTGTTTTGAGATCTCTATTTCTCTCTAATCTAGATTTTATCTTTCATAACATTAACATTTTTGGAGATGTAGCACATTTCTTTTGCAGATATCAGAATGTTTCCTCATACCAAATTAATATCAGGCATTTTGGGCAGAATACTACACTGATGATTTATATCTTTCTTAGTGCATCACATTTGGGGATACATGATTTCACTCTCTCGTATTATTGATATAATGTATGAAGTTTGCTCACTTGGTCAGATTTCTTCATTACAAGTCCTGGAATGAATAAGCCACACTCACTGCAATTTTCTTTGTAGTCAGTTAGTTATATAAGGGTTAGGGGCCAGGGAGAGCTCAGTAGAATAAGCGCTTGCCTGGCAAGCGCAAGGGCCTCAGTTCAATCCCCGGTTCTGCTAAATAAATAAATAAAATAAAAAAAAAAGTTATATAAGGGTGCATTCAATGCATATTTCTTCTTGAGAATTCTCTCTCTCTCTCTCTCTCTCTCTCTCTCTCTCTCTCTCTCTGTCTCTTCAATATTAAGGAAGGTTTAGCTTTATAGAAATTAGGATTTCATGAAATTAGTATTTTTGCCAATGATGAGATTTATAGGTAAACACATATCTTCAGTTTTTCATAATTTTTCATTTTCAGTTCTAGTAAGGCTTATATTTGACTTGATGGTAGTGGTAATGACAGGATTATCATTGTAGAAAACAGGATATTATCTGACCATTCCTATTTGCTTTGCTTGGGTATAAGCACTTTTAAAAAATAAATGCTATATCCTTGATGAGATTTTTATTAAACTTTAAAGAGACAATAAAATTATTATGTGGTTAAAGACAGATTACTGGCTTTGGTCTTATGTGCTTCTTGTAGTCTGTGAAGAAGGCACTTGAGGTCCTATTTATGATGTATGTACTTATTATGTAATCATTCTTCTTGTGTGAAAGGCCCGTGCTGCAGATCATGTAAACACCTGAAGTTAGCCATTTGGCTTGTCAGCAAGGGAGGATTTATTGTAGTTGTAATCACGGTAATAACAGGATGGTATTTTTTATTTCTTAAGTACAGAAAAAACATTTTTGATGTAAGGTGTCCACAGCCAATTTTTTCTCATGGTATAAGGACAAAAGAGTTTACACTCAGTCTCTGCTTTGCTAACTTTCTGGGAGTGGGACTTCAAAAAGAACTCAAACTTCTCAAACCTTACTTTTTTTTGAATGAAGTCAAATTAAGTCCAGAAGGGTCAAAGGATGCTACGTTATGTTGTGAGGATGTCATTCTATCAGATTGTGCCATCTGAATGTCCTGAGCTGTCCAGAGACTATACTTTGCCTTTGTTTTGTGTTTGCGTGTGGCAGCTTTCTCATTAGAGAAGTATTTCTGTTGTTTTTATTATTACTCCGGTTTATTCTTCTAATACCTCACATATGTTTCTATTATAGACAGTGTTCATCCGGAGAGCTGTCTTGTGCATCTTTTCTGTTCCGTTCTATCACATAGTAATAGTGCAGTACATGTTTGTGGAATGAGCATAAGTATGCACTTGCTTTTATCATAGATAGGTATGCTTTCAGCTTACTGTTTCCAAAGACAATGAATTACCCTTTCATCATTTTTCATATACGGGTTTTCATAGATTCTGTATCAGGTGCCTTACCAGTTCAGTAATGGAGAAAAAAAGTATTTTTATGGGATACTTCAAATGGGGCTGGGTGAAAAAACATGCTAAAGGGGAAAATATTTTTGAAAAGACCACAATAGATAAGTCTATTGCATAAATCAAAAGGGTTTATGTCATAACATGAACATGTGCCATTCCTGCTTTTGTATTAAATTTCAGGAGTTGGTTCATAAAGAAAGAAAATGTAACTAGCAAGCACAGTATTCCCCAATCAGCCTTGCCTTTGTTCTGTTTGTCCTTCAGATAGAGCCTTTTTTGCCTTTTTCAATAAAATCCATCCAGGTTTTTAAAATTTTTTTTCAACTTCCTCCAATCTCCAAGTAACTGAGAAGACCAGTGAGATCAGGGCTTTTAAAGTTCTTAGCAGTTGCTTTTTAAGAGATCAAAACTTAGAATGTGGATGTTGCTACATAGTTTTAAGGCTCAACTATTGATGTATTCCTGTAGGTGATATACTTCCCTTGTGTGGGGAGGAGGAAAGAAGAGAGAAAGGACGACCCCTGCAAGTGTGCTTTGGATAGTAAGCACTAATTTCTTTGTTTTCTAGGATCCTTTTTGCAAGCTCAGTGCTTAACCTGACCGAACTGGCTGCCCTTCGGCCTGACCTTGGGAAATTGAAAAAGATTCTGTACTTCCATGAAAACCAATTGGTATATCCTGTCAAGAAATATCAGGAGAGGGATTTTCAATATGGATACAACCAAATTCTTTCCTGGTGGGTATAGACTGCATTGTTTTTTGCCTTTGCCATCTTTTTCTTTGCAGATAGTTAGCTTTTGTATCTGGAGCCCTACTATGCATTTATAAACACCTTAAGGTAGCTGCAAAAATTTAAACATCTCTTCTATGATAGTATATATAAGATAATAGTTGCATATCCAATTATATGTTATACTAATTGTATTTTTCATAACATTCAAAATAGAATCAAAAGGTTGGCAGGGACCTTCCCCTCTTGATTCCATGATTTATTGTTTAAGGCATTCCTTTAGAAGGAGCAGTTAGTCAACTTATATTTTCCAATTTCTTTCACTGTATTCAGCTAAAATCAAAAGAGAAATTTACAGAGAAATAAAAATTAATGCATAATAAAGCAAAGGACTTTTGTCCCCAGCCCTGTGCTGTCTTTTTTATTGTTACGACACAAAACTATGTAAAATGCATTTTTAAATTTTCTCTTCCTCATTGTGTCTTCTGAAATGGTGCAGCCTTAAAATACCATGACATTTTAAAGGTGATGATCTGTCTGTATTGTTACTTCAGCAAAGTCTATCTCCCAATACTTTGTTAATGAAAGAATTTAATAGCAACTCCAAAACAGCTTTGCTATTGGATCCTACTTACAAACTGCCTGAAATGGAATCAGTTTGGCAGTGATTATGTACATTTTATTCACCTTTATTAGTAATTATTAGCCATTGAGATTGATATTATGTTTAAACAAACCCTCTTATGAGTCCGTTTCATAGTTTAGTTGATATAGAAAAACAGCTATATGATAATAATTCTGTCTTTGGAGCATTTTGTAAATGTTTTCCTGCAATCACTTTTACGAGCTGTTTCAACTGTAAAGTAGCAGTGCTATCAAAATAGAGTGGAACTGCTTCATGTCAGATATCTCATAAAAAGCAACCATTTTAAAATTTCATAATAAAATTAAAATATTGCATATTGAAACAGAGAAGGGAAACATGTTTTAAAAAAATAAAATCATTTTATGTTTTATCAATATGGAAACATTTACAATATTTTTATGGTTTTTTGAGTTAGCATCAGTTTTTTTTTCTTCAGTGTATGTTTATTACCTCTGAGAAATCACTGGGAAAATAATTCAATCTATTTTTTCCTCTATGGGTAGCTTTTAAGTTAATGGAAATTATACACCCTCCTATCAGGGCTGAAATTTACCAAAAAAGAATATTTCTGTAAACTGTCCTGAATATTTAATTTGTGATAGACTTGATTTTAAAGAGTATAAGCCATTGAGTTGTATGCTTTTTGAGAGTATATATCTAAAAAAATATTACTCACTGCCCCTGCTGCCTTTTATAAAAATTGTTTTTATTCTTGGAGAAAGAGACTATAAAAGCTTACATAAGACTTTTTGATTTTTTTCTTCTCAAGAAAGTAAACTGATAGACATGCTTGGAGGGAAAGAAGTGGCCTTCATCACCCTTTGTTTTATTAATGGGAAAAAATGGTTCACAGTTGTCCAGAGGAAAAATCAGAGTGTCAGAAAGCAGTCCTGCTCTGATTCCTTGTGAAAAGTATGACTCCTGCTTCCTCAAATGTTTCTTTAGTTTTCTTGCTGACTTCTGCTTTTGTTGGCACTGTGAGATTTCTTTCTTGACTGTGTGTCAGTTAAGGACTTTAAAGATGACTGACATAAACGCTCACCTTAAACAGAGGTTTCACTAACCCTCTGACTTATGAACCATGTCATAAGTATATATTACGATCTGTGGGTCACTATTATAATATGTGACATATGATGAAAACAGACTAGCTGTAAAACATCCTTCAACTTTTGGATATTGTTAAACTGACTTGCTTATTGCTTAGTGTTGTGTCAGCACTTCTGTGACATTCCTTTGTGTTATCTGTGTTGTAATCACCATCCCCCAGGTTTTTACCAGGTACCAACTGAAAGAAAAAATATTTGTGTGCAGAACTAATTTTGGAAGGGTGTAATAGGTCAACATTTCTTTCATTGGTTTTTCATTTTACTGTGTATTAATAACAGTAAATCTATATTAGTAAAATATAAATATAGATTTAGTTCAGTAAACATTATGTAAACTAAACTGAAACTTTGATATATTTTTAATTCAGTCTATAAACTATATTGATTTTAATTTTTTGCTTTCCTTTACATTTATGTGTCTTGTTTTGTCCCCCTTCCCTCCCTTCTCTTCCATTTCTCTCCCCTCCCCTTTTGGAGATTAAGCCTAAAACTTTGTCCCTGAGCTGTATCTCCAGCCCTTTCTTTCTTTTTTTTTTTTAATTTAATCTTTTTCTTTTGTGATAGCATCATGCTAAATTGCTAAAGTACCCAGAGTGGGCTCAAATTTTCCAGTGTCCTACCTTAACCTCCCATTTTATTTTTCATTTTTTTTTTGGCGGAACCGGGGATTGAACTCAGGCCCTTGTGCATGCCAGGGGAGCGCTTATTCCATTGAGCCATCTCCCTGGCCCTTAACCTCTGATTTTATATCTTCTTTTCAATGCTACATATTTTTAGGGTAAAATAAAACCAACTGTTTTGTATATTTAATCTTATGTTACCTACTTATGGAAGTATTTGTATGCATTTCCCTAAGATACAATGACATGGAATCATTGGTTAAGCAAAATGGGGCATTTTGAGAAGTCAAAATGGTGACTTATTAAATTAATTTCAGATTCATAAAGTAATCATACTACACATTCAGGTTTTATTCTCAGGTTTTATTTAGTTATCATTTTTGTTCATTGGTGCCCAAGAAAATTATAGACAATCTGAAAAGTGCTGACTTGTTTATGTAACAAACATTTTTCCCTTTTTTGGTGGGGGTATTAAGGATGGAACCCAAGACCTTCACACTCAGCTACATCCCCAGTCCATTTTATTTTTATTTTAAGATAATGTTGGGGCTGGGGAGATGGTTCAGTAGAATAAGCGCTTGCCTGGCAAGATAATGTTTCCCTGTGTTGCCCAGAATGGGTTTGAATTTATGATACTCTGATTTTAGTCTTCCGAAATTCTTATGTTACATGCATGTGCCACCACGCGTAGCTCTGCTTTCATGTTCTCACATGACAATTTATTTTATTTTAAAACATTAAAGAGAGGCTGAGGAGATAGCTCAGCAATCTAAGCACCTCCTGCCTTAGCAAGGACCTGGGTTCTATCCCTAGTAGCGTGTGCCATGCCAGCCCCTCCCTCCTGGGCTTTCCTTGCTGGCCACTGAAACCAGGCAAGGTGGTTTCTGTCTGTAATCCCAGTGCTGCAGAGGCTGAGAGAGGAGGTTCACTACGAGTCCAAGCTATACAGTGAGATCTTTTAACAAACAAACAAATAAATATTTTTTTAAAATTAAAAAAAAAATCATTGAAGAGAAGAATACAGTCTTTTGTGAAAAGTGGTAGACAATATTACATTTTCTTTGGTAAATTCTATTATGATCTTTTATGATACATTCCTTTAGATGATGAGCAGGATCTAATGCGATGGATTTATGCATCCATTTCTATTAATTTGTTTTCTGCTTTTCTGCTTACCCTGAATGTATTAATAAGTTATTTGTAGAGACACCATCCTTCCTGAGCAGTATCAGAACTTTAAGGACTGGCCAGATAGCTCAGCAGACTGAAGCACCTGCTTAGGCAGAGCGCAGCGGCCGGGGTTTGATCCCAGGGCCTGCCATGCTGGCCACGCCCCAGGGCATGCTGAAACTGGGATTGAGACTGGGCATGTGGGCATTTGCCTGTAATTCCAGCTCTTGGGAGGCTGAACACATGTGGCTCACTAGGAGTCTGATCTACATAGTGAGACCCTGTAGACCCTGTAGACCCTGTCTTAAATACAAAAAACTTTAAAAAATGTAACACAAGTTTTTTAAACCAAAATCTAAGGCAGGAAATAGATTGTAATCAAATATTATAATCAAATACTAGAATATTTCATATTTCTACTATGAAAATAGCTTTATATTAATTAATGACAAGTATTTTAAACATGCTGTTAGTAGTACAGTGTAAAATGAAATGCATCACTATCAAAGAACCTAATGTACTTTGTTGAGGTACAGCAAAAAGAAGACTTGCTGTACTTAATGTAACCATTGCTATAGAAAGTCCATAGCATTGTGTGTACATAGGCCTTGGTCTGCAGTCTCATATGATCCTATTGAATCTTTCACTACTCTTGTACACTCTTCTCCTTGATTCTACCAATACAGCTTCCTCTTATTGAATACTAATGACATGAATTTTCCTGTTAGAGACACTTTGGTAGATACTGAGAGGAAATAAAATGTTTTTTAAGCTTACGATGCAATGTAAACTCTGATTAATGTTGAGTTTATATTATAAAAATAATTCTGAATGAGTCTGATCTCATCATTTGCATTTATCTTTTCCCTTTATAGCTTGGTGGCTGATGTAGTTGTATTCAACTCAGTTTTTAATATGGAGTCATTTCTCACTTCTATTGGGAAATTCATGAAGCTGGTTCCTGATCACAGACCCAAAGATCTGGAAAGCATCATCAGACCCAAGTGCCAAGTGATTTACTTTCCCATCAGATTTCCTGATGTGAGCAGGTCAGTATCTTTTACTCTGTTCTCAATTGTGTGTCATACATTACTTCTCACATATGTAGAAGTGGCTGTTCTTGCCAGTTGTAGCTTTCTACTATCAGCATGGTTAGAGAACTGAGTTCCGTCTCACCAGGCTGTGTTTTGCAAAAATTTTGAATAATCATGTGTCCATGCAATCACTGAGGGGTTGGTACAGATACTGCGTTCTTCTTTTCTTTTCTCATATATATTCGTCCTTGTATGCTACTTTGTTTTCAACACTTGCTGTTTTGTTGTTGTTGTTGTTTTAGAAGCTATTGTCAAGCATATTTATCAACTTTTACATTCAGTTTATCCCCATTGGTTTATATTTGTAGTAATAACTCTTCTAAATAAATCAATGTTAAATCTCATTGCTGGGATACCTTTAATTTGCCATGATTGTTTCTTTTACTTTTTCTTCCTTCGTTTTTGTTATTTATATTAATAAAGAATTAAGTCTGTCACATTGGGCTACAAATGCACTTCATAGCCATTTTTCTTTCTCAGTTACTAAGGACATTTTTTATTACCCTTGTTACTGGGCCCACTCTGAGTTAGCAATGGATGACGTGGCTCAAAGGGAACATTTTGGAATTCTTTTTCATTTTTGATTAAACTCCGAAAAACTATTTTTACAACCACCAGGAATGTTTCTCCCTTGTGAATAAAAAGTTTACTTCAGTGAGACTCACAGTAAGTGGGGATGCCTCTGTCTTGTAATTGACTGTGTCCTTAAAAGGAGTTCAGGGACAGCTGTTTCTTCCCCATCCCCGGAGAAGGCAGGAAATGATGTAATGTCCATACATGCTGTGCAGGATGCCAACGTTAATTATTATGTCTGAACTTACTGAGTTCACTCAGATTTTGCTGTTGGGATGGTAGGCCTCATCTATACTCACAGTGTTGAGTTATCTGAGTGACTTACTAGTTAATATTTCATTAATGAATAAACAAGATATCATGTCTGCACCTTTTCCTCTGAATAACTACTATGAAGACAACAGTATGCAATGTATTAATTATTGTAGCTGTCCTACTAACCTGTTTTGAAACTGTTCCATTGCTGTTTTTTCTCATGAAAACGAATAAAAAATTAATAAATAAATAAATGTACTTGTGCCTGGGAACACTAGAGCCAGCCTTCGTATGTTGATTTATCAGCTTTACTTGAGAAGGTCACATACCTGAAAAAGTAAATTTGTAAACACAAAAGTTTCAAAAAAAAGAATTCATTAATGAAAAAATCTGCACCAAATCATGTTAGCAAGGCATAAAATTTAAGTTAGACCACTTTGTACAATCCTTAAGTTAGACTACCTTGTACAATTCTTACTTTATGCATCACAGAAAACAGAGGCTGAGAAAATTTGTCTTGCAGTCATTTTAAGATGGTGGTGAGGGGGAGCTGGGGAGATGTCTCAGTGGAATAAACACTTCCCTGGCAAGCGCAAGGGCTTGAGTTCAGTCCCTGGTGCTGAGGAAAAAAGAAAAAAGAAAAAAGAAAAAAAAAAGATGGTGAACTGGATTAAGTCTAAACTATGTTCTGTGATTTTGGATTGAAATTCCAAATTCTGTTAAAGCTTCCTGTCATTGTAGATCATTTGCCAATAACACTTAATAATCTCTTTGTTCTTTTGAAAACTATAAACCTAAGTGGAACTTATAGCATAATTTTTAGGACTCTGTGTGTGTGTGTGTGTGTGTGTGTGTGTGTCTGTCTGTCTGTCTGTCTGTCTGTCATCTTGTGTTCATATCTATGTACAAATGATTTTGGGATTCTCCAGAGATACTGAAATCTGTACATCTCAAGCCTTTATTTATTTATTTATTTATTTAACTAAATATAAAATCATGATAATAAAAATAGAAATGATATAGAATTTCACTAAAGAAAATAATATGAATCCGACAGTATTTGCTGCCTTGCATTTGAAGTCAAGCCTTTGCTTATATGACTTATGTACATTCTCTTGTATACTTTAAGTCACATCAAGATTACTGATGGCACCTATTTCAGTACAAAAGATAATGCAGTTAGCTGTTATGTAGTATTAATTAGGCAGTGATGAAAAAATCTGTCCTTGTGTGCTACTTTATCCTTGTATGTATTCAGTACAGATAGATACATTTTTTTTTCCTTCTCAACTGTTTTTGATCCACAGTTGGTTAAATCACTGAATGGGAAACTTCTGCTAAACATAGAATTTTCTTTGGTGTAATGAGAGATTTTTCACTTTCTGAAAATTATAATTTTTATACTTGACATTTATTATGTGCTTTCACACTGTCATATATCTGAATTCTTAAAGTATCAGTCATTTTTTAAAATAAGTTTTTCATATACTCTATAAGAAAATGAATTTCTTTAAGTGAATGAGTGAATATAATTCAAATTAATAATACTGCTATAAATTTTCAAATAAATGTCCTAAATTTATTTGTGTCTGACATGCTTCTACAATTTCTTGTATTTAATATACCTATGGAAATTGAATAGTTTATTAATTTGGAACATGTTAGCATAAAAGAATCTAGCTAAATAGAAAAAGGTTAAGAAATATTGTGTCCAAGATAGCATTCATAAACAAGGTCTTAGCCCAGAGTGTTATTTGAATTATTTTCAAATGGTAATTTGCTTTGTACAACCCAAACTCATATAGTGTAAGTAAGTGATTATTTGCATGAATGACAATCATCTATTGCCTGCAGTTTTAAAAGCATATTATTTTGTTGAGATGTTGAAAAATATGTAGTAATTCCAAAGGCAAAATAGCCAAAGTGATTAAACAAAATTATCGAATGCTTTTTGTCTTTCCCCTATCCATAGCAAAAAGGAACTTGGCTATGGAAAAATTTTGCCTATGGCAAAAATGAGTTTAAGTAAAAACAAAATATAAGACATAGTTAAATTATTAATATAATATGCTAAATATAATGCATAATATAATATAAAATATAAAATAATATAATATATATTAACTAAAGAAGATAGAAAAGCCATATTTCTAGCTTAAATAATGAAGGTCTATAAAATTGCTTTCTGGTAGAGAAGTATGACTACACATAGGCGTGCAGTAGTAAAGAACTTTAGGTACATGTATTGCCTATTGCTTTCTTTACCATCCACCGCTTTACTTCCGAACACTGGAAAAATTATTGCAAGAGAAAATATTATTCTGAAAATGTTTTCTTATATGTCTTAAACTTTTGGGGGTGCTCTTAACTGCTGTGGTCATACACACATATATTTGAATCTTACCTTCCACTTAGCTCAGTGACTCGTGCCAGTGGAATGATCCTGAACCTAAATTCTTTAATAGTTTTGATTGTATGTACCTTGTCACCTCATAGGGATATTGACGTGATTAAATAAAATAATGCCTGCCAAATGCCTAGGGATAATGGCTGGATATAATAGAACCCAATAAAACATTATTTCCTCCTTTTAGCACCCTTACCCCCATTAATTTATAACCAAGCACATTTCTGCTACCTGAATATGGAGAATTTACTCCAGTCCACCTCCTGCTTCCTGTAAGTGACATATGAAAATAGAGAACTACTCTGCTAAAAGGTCAGCCTATTATAAATAGAGGTTGGTTAATTTGGTTACTTTATCATTCCTATTCAGTCTTTTGACCTCCCCAGAACTACTATCCATTAATTAAGTCAACTTCTTACATTTTCTGCCTTGTTGTCTCGTTTTTATACATCTTAACTTCTGTATTCTATCTTTATATTTACTATTTTAAGGTCTCAAATCTTTTTCGTCATTTGCTTTATGTTGGATTGGCAAAATCCCCAACTTGATTGTATCTGTGCTTCACTAAAGGTCCACCTACACTTACAAGATTAAAAATGACTAGAGGAAAAAAACAAAACAAAACAAAAAAAACATTCAGCCATTCTTCATAGTATGTTCTAAATTTCTACTTCCAAATTCAGACAAGGCCTTTGTATTATCTGTCAAGCAACCATATTTCACATTTTAGATAGAAAGTCATGCCTTTCTTTAAAAATAGGAAACAAAAACAAACAAACAAAAAAACCCCTCAAGTTTCAAGTTATCTGTGCTCATTATCAGCTGAATTTGAGAACACAGAAATAATCAGAAAATTGTTTGTACTTTGGCACCACCATTAGCTGCTTCTGGGTGTATTTCTCCATCGTCATACCTGTTGCTGTGGACAAACTGACCTTGCTTGTACCTAAGGAAGGCATTATGTCCACTTCTTTGCTAGAATTTGTTTTTCTTGTGTAGTCATGGTATATTATCCTATTTATTCTTTCTTTTCTGTTCTGCATCATTAATTTTCCTCTTTTGTGAATCATTCCTGTTTTCCTTTCTTTTGAATCATTCCTTTTAGCATGCAAAAACCCAGTATTTCTTACATTAAAAAATATCACTCTTGATTCTACTTTTTCCTTCTACTACTGTCTCATTTCTCTGCTTCTCTTATTAGTATAACTTCTCAACAGAGTTATCAGTTTTTACTGCTTCCAGTTTTATTCCTCCTATTTTTTCAAGTCTTTGCATTAAGACTGTTTTCATTAAGATCATTAGTGAGTTCCATGTCTCCTATGGTCACTTCTCAGTGCTCATCTTCCCTTACATACTAGGAGCACTTCACACATTATGACTTAAAGAACATATTCTTTAGTTCACTTCAAAGATACACAGTCTTTTGATTTTCACTCAGGGGGCTGCTTGTGAGGCTTTTTTATTGGTTCTTTCTCATCATCTCAACCTTTTAACAATGGCCAATTATTCTTGAGTTAATGGAGGAAAAGTCCACCATTGACGTAAGAAAAGCTAAGAGTCAAGAGGTCAACAATGAGACAGTTGTCCTGTAGAACAAAGGGAGAATTTCAAAATTATTGGAAGTGAATTCAAAAGACTGAATTTAAATAAAATAATTACAGTAAAAGCAACCTTGAATTCCATACTTATTTAGTACCTTTCCCTGAGTTTTGTTGATTTA